AATGAAAATATAAGTACAAAATAAGTGCAATCAAGTGCAATCAAGTCAATGTATGGTATTGTTAAATCTTTTGTTAAATATAAAAACATGCATTCTGATCTAATTAATTCTAAGATTGGAGTAAAACAAGGAGATCCAGCAAGTAGCATATTGTGTTTATTTTTTCTCAATGATATATTAAATAATATAAATAGGAACATTCCTGGTATTGTTAACATTGATGATATACAGGTATTTTTGTTGTTATTTGCAGACGACGCTGTAGTTTTCACACATGATCCAAATTCATTACAATCTATCTTGAATGATATAGAACATTATTGCAATATGTGGAATCTGAAATTAAATGTATCTAAAACAAAAGTAATGATTTTTGAAAATGGTAGACATACATCTTATGATTTCTTTTTGTATAACACTAGAATTGAAATTGTAGAATCTTTTAAATATTTAGGTGTGTATCTTTTTAAAAATGGGAACTGGAACAGAACTCAAAAATATATTGCGCAACATGCGTCATATTCACTACACAATCTATTTATTGTATGTAACCAGTTGGAACTTCCAGTTTCCCAAATGATAAGTTTATTTGATAGTATTGTTTTACCAACATTAAATTATGCTGCAGAAGTGTGGGGGCATCATGCTGGTCCGAACATAGAAATTATACATACAAAGTTTTGTAGAAGATTGTTATGTGTGAAACAATCAACCAATGTAGATGTGTTATATGGTGAACTTGGTCGTACACCAATGTCCATTCATAGAAAACTAATATTGATCAAATACTGGTTAAAACTTCTTAAACTTAATGAAAGAACTATATTGTATAAAATTTTTATTATGTTAAAAAACAGATGCCGACAATGGTGTAACTTATAGTGGTAAAAACTGGGCATATACTGTTAAGACTATTTTAGAGCAGACTGGCTTGTTTTATATGTTGGAAAATCAGTTTACTATACATATAGAATTTAGTATTATTAAACAACGAATTTTAGACATATTCTATCAAAGTTGGTATTCCTCAATTAATAACTCGTCTAGATTAGATACATATTGTTTATTTAAACATTCATTCGAATTTGAAAACTATTTGGATTTTATCGTTGAACCGAAATTTAGGGTAGCTTTATCCAAATTTCGTTCATCTTCTCATAGTTTGGCTATTGAACGTGGACGGCATAGAAATATACCAAGAAATGAAAGATTGTGTAGTAATTGTAATGCCGGTCTTATAGAAAATGAGTATCATTTTGTATTAATATGTTCTAAATTCCAGGACTTAAGATCAAAATATATAAAGAGATATTATTATACGTGGCCTACTAAACAGAAATTTGAATTTGTTAATCTCATATGTGCAAAATCAAAAGCAATAATTAATAATTTAGCAAAATATATATACTATGCAAACTTGCGAAATAACTAGTCATCTTTAATGCAGATACATATATTATATTATTGTGCTCTTCTGTAAACCATGTCTTTGTATAAAAAATTGTATTGCTATGGAACATGTTGTTTTAATGCAATAAAATATTTGTAGTTGTAGTTGTAGTTAGATATATAGGGAAACTGCTGACCAGTTAGATATATAGAGAAAAATATATTTTGCCGTGAAATTGTTACTCATTTTATAATGTATGCAAATTTTATATATTATATAAAATTATGTCGACAATTTATTAAGTAAAAACACTGCTGACCAATTTAATGTTAATTCAAATTGATTTAAGCCATAAAACTCTTATTATTCTATATGGTCAGCAAATTTAACGCTCTTTACATTCAGGCGAGAAAATGCTGACCAGTTAAACATACAGTAGAATCTGCTGACCAGTTAGATATATAGGGAAACTGCTGACCAGTTAGATATATAGAGAAAAATATATTTTGTCGTGAAATTTTAATTCATTTTATAATGTACGAAATTCAATATATTGTATAAAATTTTGTCGACATTTAATTAAGTAAAAACACTGCTGACCAATTTAATGTTAATTCAAATTGATTTAAGCCGTAAAACTCTCTTATTCTATATGGTCAGCAAATTTAACGCTCTTTACATTCAGGCGAGAAAATGCTGACCAGTTAAACATATATAGTAGAATCTGCTGACCAGTTAGATACGAGGGATGTCCGGAAAGTTCATATACATCTTCATTTTTTATTGTAAAACAATACATACGCTTTTTTGTCAGCATAAAAATACATATCTAGCGAACACATATTTATCAAAAATTACTGAACTGTGACTAACGTTTGTATTTTAAAAGTATTTACATACAACATATATACATAATCATGGAGCACTTTGACAACGTCAACGGCGTCAAATTAAATTCATGTTTACCAACTATTTAATTTCTTCCGATTTCAAAAGCCATCATGGTACCTGTCTGACGTATACTTAATACATGTTATTGCTTCATACATTTCATATTTAAAATTATTATTTAAAAATAAAGATTTCACTGGTTCCCATACTGTGTGTAAGATGTCTGCCTTTTTCAAAAAATGTTGTAACGCAATCTACGATATTTCAGCCATGCTACTTTTGGTCACTTCTGGAGCGTTTCTTATACAATATCCTGTCATCACCGCTTCTTTATCTTGTTTGACATTTATTCATTTAAACACAAGTTGCCTTTAACATTTCATGGTTAATTTTGTTTTAAAGGTAAAGATTATAATCTCAGTTGGCGCCATATTAGCGTTGCTATGAAGTTAAATATCATTACGTTGCTCCGTCCGTTAATTTGACGTCATTTTTGCAACACAAAATGTACACCTTCATTGCCTATAATCTACGGAATGCCGTTAGGGCCATCGCCTATGAATGGTTTGATCTGAAACGCGATACTCGACAGTACGATGATGAAAACGCGAAATCACGAAACTACGATGGTGAAAACGCGACAGTACGATGGTGAAAACACGATAGTTTGTCGCGTTTTCATCATCGTAGTATCGTACTGTCGCGTTTTCATCATCGTACTATCGCGTTTTCATCATCGTACTTTCGCGTTTTCACCATCGTAGTTTCGTGATTTCGCGTTTTCACCATCGTACTATCGACTATCGCGTTTCAGATCAACACATTCATAGGCGATGGCCCTAACGGCATTCCGTAATAATCGCCGTAAACAAGCTGTTTATTTACGTATGACATCATAATTTACACTGAATATCATGTTATACTATCCTATGATGTCACAAAATTAAAACGAGAGATTGCATTAAAATTACATCTTTTAGCAACTTTTTATTCGAGTAGCTATCATCATGAAATCAAAGTGCTCCGTGGTTCGTTGATCATGTTGCCATGGTGATCGGCGCTTTGCGAATATTACTTTTATCATGTTTTTTAATTTAGAAATATGTAGCAGATAAATACTTAAGTAAAGTATTAAATCATCATATTGATATGTCTGCTTAAAATAATTTTATAGCCTTGTCTACGAACTTTCCGGACAGCCCTCGTATATAGGGAAACTGCTGACCAGTTAGATATATAGAGAAAAATATATTTTGCCGTGAAATTGTAATTCATTTTTATTATGTATGCAAATTCAATTTATTTTATAAAATTATGTCGACATTTAATTAAGTAAAAAACACTGCTGACCAATTTAATGTTATTTCAAATTGATTTAAGCCGTAAAACTCTTCTTATTCTATATGGTTAGCAAATTTAACGCTCTTTACATTCAGGCGAGAAAATGCTGACCAGTTAAACATATACACATGTAGTAGAATCTGCTGACCAGTTAGATATATAGGGAAACTGCTGACCAGTTAGAAATATAGAAAAAAATATATTTTGTCGTGAAATTTTAATTCATTTTATAATGTACGAAATTCAATATATTGTATAAAATTTTGTCGACATTTAATTAAGTTAAAAACACTGCTGACTTATTTAATATTAATTCAAATTGCAATTATTGCTTTTGAAAATACATTTTTTTTCCGTTACAAGATTTTTCTATTGGAATATCACTAACAAGAGATTTTGATAAAACTCATAACATCATAATTCTTTATAAAACATTAATTCAAATTTTTGCATATCTTTAGAGGTATAAAAAGCTGTTTAATATATCCTTTTAAAATCACGGATTTATATTACATGTAGTAATGTAAATCCGTGTTAAAATGTATGATATTATGGTACTTTAAATGTATATATTAATTTAGTTTATAAACATAGTCATATAAATGCAAAAATTAAAAATATAATTAAAAGAATAAAAGTAATTTCCCATCTTTTTATTACCCCCTACGGCGTGTTTATATAACTTCACACCTTCAATGTTTCCCTTCTTTGTGTAACTGGTCAGCATTTTCCGATAATCCTTCTTTATTTAACTGGTCAGCAGTTTCCTATATATCTATATCGTCAGCTAATTCGTCAGCAGTTTAGTGCGACCCCTTCCATGATCGCACCGTTTGTCGGTGAGTTAGTAAATTCTGACCAAGCACCGGTAGACGCACGACAATGCGATACGATATTATTCCAAATGTCGCTTCGCATTGTCGAGTGTCGCTTCGCGTTGTCGAGTATCGCTTCGCGTTGTCGAGTGTCGCTTCGCATTGTCGAGTGTCGCTTCGCAATGTTGAGCGTCGCGGTGTAAAAATCATAAAAATGACAATGCGAAGCGACACTCGACAACGCGAAGCGACATTTCTTAAATGTCGCCCTTTTTTACCGCGACATTTCTAGGCGACAGTGCGACATATCGTTTGACACTGTCGAGCGTCGCTTCGCATTGTCGCATATCGCTTCGCGTTGTCGAGCGTCGCTTCGCATTGTCGCGATGTCACTTCGCATTGTCGTGTGTCTACCCTTAGACGCGACGGACGACATTCTAAATGGCACGATAAGGACACCGTACAATTTAAATAGTTTATTAACGCCCAAATTAAAAATAGTGGTCTAAAACATATGTTACCGGGGTTTGTTCCATAATATTAATAATAAAACAAACACGGAGTTCAATCACTGTATTCTTTAAGACTTTATTGCATCTAGGTGTAGAGACATAGTAAATCCACTTTACACTTTACATAGGCTCTGCAAATAAATTAAACATAACATATTTCCTATAAGGTTAAATTTATAACATACATACAATGCATAGAACAATGAAAACACTATATATCATAATCTTAATATCATAGAAGTAAATCATTGCCATTTATACATATGTCTCTATATTCTTTACAAACAATTATAATAAGCTATTAATTTAAGAATAAAATGAATACAAGATACATCAACATATTTTACACATACATGTCATGGTTATTATAAGTGGCTATGTTATCAGGTTCATCTGAACCAAAGTATAAAATAAGGCTACACTTACTGGTCTATGGGACCACTGCCCTTATATAGATAATAGATATAATTCTCTCTCCACACAACACTGCTTCCTCTCACTGTGATGTTAACTGCTGTAAACAATGTAATGATACATGCACAAGTGTGAAATAACAAGTTGGAAAACAGATCAGTCTGACCGGCATTTCCCTTTAATAAATAAACTAAACAACACGCGAAATACATAAATACATCAATTCAGCCATTGCACTATACCTTACTGAGATAGTACACCTTGAATAAACAAGATATGTTTGTAAAACATGTATGCCCCCTATCAGCAGCCAATTAGTCATGTGATAAGGTTATTATGCATGACGTCTGACCCAGTGATCAAACAATTAATAAGGGTTATAAAGTATCTACTGGTCATGACCTTGACCTTTGACCCCTTGACCCAAAACTCAATAGGGGTCATCTGCTGGTCACGACCTATCATCATACAAAGTTTGAAGTTCCTAGGCCTAGGCGTTTTTAGTAAATTGATCAGAAACCGTTTTTACCTACAAGGTCAATGTGACCTTGACCTTTGACCCCTTGACCCCAAAATCAATAGGGGTCATCTGCTGGTCATGACCAATCACCATGCCAAGTTTGAAGTTCTTAGGCCTAAGGGTTCTCTTATTATTGATCGGAAAACTGTTTAACATACAAGGTCAATATGACCTTGACCTTTGACCCCAAAATCAATAGGGGTCATCTGCTGGTCATGACCAATCACCATGCCAAGTTTGAAGTTTCTAGGCCGAAGCGTTCTTTAGTTATTGATCAGAAACCGTTTTTACTTACAAGGTCATTGTGACCTTGACCTTTGACGCCTTGATCCCAAAATCAATAGGAGTAATCTGCTGGTCATGACAAATCACCATACCAAGTTTGAAGTTCCTAGGCCTAAGCGTTCTTGAGTTTATTGATCAGAAACCGTTTTTACTTAAAAGGTCAATGTGACCTTGACCTTTGACCCCAAAATCAATAGGGGTCATCTGCTGGTCATGACCAATCACCATGCCAAGTTTGAAGTTTTTAGGCCGAAGCGTTCTTTAGTTATTGATCAGAAACCGTTTTTACTTACAAGGTCATTGTGACCTTGACCTTTGACCCCTTGATCCCAAAATCAATAGGAGTAATCTGCTGGTCATGACAAATCACCATACCAAGTTTGAAGTTCCTAGGCCTAAGCGTTCTTGAGTTATTGATCAGAAACTGTTTTTACTTAAAAGGTCAATGTGACCTTGACCTTTGACCCCTTCACCTAAAACTCAATAGGGGTCATCTGCTGGTCATGACCAATCATCACACAAAGTTTGAAGTTCCTAGGCCTAAGCGTTTTTAGTTAATTGATCGGAAACCGTTTTTACCTACAAGGTCAATGTGACCTTGACCTTTGACCCCTTGACCCCAAAATCAATAGGTCATCTGCTGGTCATGACCAATCACCATACCAAGTTTGAAGTTCCTAGGCATAAGGGTTAAGTTATTGATCCGAAAGCATTTTTACCTACAAGGTCAATGTGACCTTGACCTTTGACCCCTAGACCCCAAAATCAATAGGGGTCATCTACTGATCATGACCAATCACCATCTCAAGTTTGAAGTCCCTAGGCCTTAGGGTTCTTTCATTATTGATCGGAAACCGTTTTTACCTACAAGGTCAATGTGACCTTGACCTTTGACCCCTTAACGCCAAAATCAATAGGGGTCATCTGATTGGTCATAACCAATCACCATACCAAGTTTGAAGTTCCTAGGCCTAAGGGTTCTTTTGTTATTGATCAGAAACCGTTTTTAATTAAAAGGTCAATGTGACCTTGACCTTTGACCCCTTGACCCCAAAATCTATACGGGTCATCTACTGATCATGACCAATCACCATACCAAGTTTGAAGTTCCTAGGCCTTAAGGTTCTTTAGTTATTGATCGGAAACCGTTTTTACTTACAAGGTCAATGTGACCTTGACCTTTGACCCCTTGACCCCAAAATCAATAGGGGTCATCTACTGATCATGACCAATCACCATACCAAGTTTGAAGTTCCTAGGCCTTAAGGTTCTTTAGTTATTGATCGGAAACCGTTTTTGCTTTTAAGGTCAATGTGACCTTGACCTTTGACCCCTTGACCCCAAAATCAATAGGGGTCATCTACTGGTCATGACTAATCACCATACCAAGTTTGAAGTTCCTAGGCCTTAAGGTTCTTTAGTTATTGATCAGAAACTGTTTTTGCTTTCAAGGTCAATGTGACCTTGACCTTTGACCCCTTGACTCCAAAATCAATAGGGGTCATCTACTGGTCATGACCAATCACCATACCAAGTTTGAAGTTCCTAGGCCTTAAGGTTCTTTAGTTATTGATCGGAAACCGTTTTTGCTTTCAAGGTCAATGTGACCTTGACCTTTGACCCCTTGACCCCAAAATCAATAGGGGTCATCTGCTGGTCATGACCAATCACCATACCAAGTTTGAAGTTCCTAGGCCTAAGGGTTCTTTAGTTATCACTCGGAAACCATTTGGTCTACGGACCGACGGACCGACGGACCGACGGACCGACAAGTGCAAAGCAATATACCCCCTTTTTTTCAAAATGGGGGCATAATAAGTCAACAACCTCTCAAGGATAATAGAGATGAAAAACATCGAGAAATACAACCCACTTTAATTTTTCCGCCCCCAAGGTACAATTTAATGCGTCCCAAAAACGAAAAAACCATGAAAATCATGGGAATAAGAGGGATCACTTTTAAACCTGATTAACGGAAAAGGAAAAAACGAAAAAAAACCCGTAAAAAGGGGGAAAAAACAAGGAAAAAATTTAATCAAAGTTAAAAGGGAAAAAGGGTAGGGAAGTATTTAAATTACTAATAAAGGGGGAATATTTTTTAAAAAATGCCCCGGAAAAACCACCTCCCCCTTTTCGGGCCAAATGAGGGTTCTTTAATTTTTTTCTAAAACTAAAAAAAAGTTTTTAATTGGGGGAAATTTTTATACAATAACAACCCATAAAGCAGATATAAAATATATCTCCAGATATTTATGTAAAGAAATATTTTCTTCATATCACATATGTTGATATGTCTGAAAAAAAAATAATTGTTAACTTTTTGTAAACAGTAACTTCCTGAAAACAAAATACTTTGTAATTTCCTAAGCAATATGCTTTAAACATAGTTATTATATAGAAATAACTTTTGTCATCTTATCACTTCTCCCCCTCCTGTAAATTGTGTCCCTACAATTAAAATAAAAAAAAAACTTGTATTATGAGAATTAATTTTGTATCCTCAAAAAAAAATTAATAAAAACAATGATAAAAAAATCACTTAAATTTCGCTCACTGAACAAAAATATGTTCTATTTTATTACTGCCTCTAGTATTTTATTTGTCATGTCAGAATTCAATTGATTAAACACACCTGAATTCATAAGAATTCCCATTGTATTTAACCTGGTGTCTATTGGTCTTTTTTAATTTTTAAAAGAACTTTTTATGGTAAGCTTTAAAACCCAAATTTTGGGCTTTTTTCTACTTCTCTCAGATCGTTTTGGGTGTTTCCCAACAGGTATAATATATTTACATTTCTTTTGTTTCACTGCCCATTTCAATTTTTTTTTTTCTGTTTGACCAAAAAACTATTTTCCTTCATGTATTTTAAATGTTTACTGGGCACAGTATCTGTTTTTCCGGCAAAAAAAAATCCTCTGTATTTACTTTTCCGTTCTAAATTTCCCTTATATTTCTGAAAAATTTTAAAACCCTGGTCTTTGTTTTAACCGATACAAAATTTTCTTTTTACAAATTTTTTACTGGGGGCCGCCCCCCAACTTTGGGATCCCTTAAAAATATATTCCCCTACTTTTCTGGTCCCCTTCCTTTTTTCCTACCGTTTTAGATTTTACCTGTTTTTCACTATCTTTTTGGCAGAATTTTGCCCCCTTTGTTTTTAAACAAAATTTAATCTTAAAAATTTTTCCTTTACCTTTTTTTCCAAAAAGCCCCTTTTTTCCCCTTGGGTCTTTTGGGAAAAATTTGGAAAAACGGTTTGTTGACAAAATTCTCTTTTTTTTTTTGGATTGGAGGATCAATTGGTTCTAAATTTTCCAAAAGGAAAAAGTTTAATTTTGTGAAATTTCTTTTCATTTTTTCTTTCACTTTTTTTCAGTTTTTAAATTCATGAAAGAGGGAATATCGGGCGGGGTTTGGGTTTGGGAACGGGTTTAAATTTTCCTTTCTTCATATCTGTCCGAAATTTTAAAATGTTTACCATCCCCAAAAATGTTTAGAAATCTTAACAAGAATTTTAAAATTCCCCCTACATTTATTTTTGATGTTTTAAAGTTTTCCCTTATCAATGGACCTTTTGTTTTAGGGGGTCCAGTTTTTTTCCCTGTAACTTTTTGACAATATTTTGAGGTAAAAAATTTGGGCCATTCTTTTTTCCTTTTAGGTCTTGAATTTTATTATCTCAGTTTTGGGTTTTTTTTAATGCCCACACCGAATGCTTTTCAAACAATGAATCAATGGAAATTTTTGGGCTTTTTTCCAAAACCCAAAACCCTCAAAGGGTGAGATTTTTTGTTGTTTCATGTTTGGGAAAAATTTTTGAAAGGCGTTTATTTTAAAGATGTGATGTTTTTTTTTTAACCAACCCCTTGGGCCTTTTGGTCAGGTTCTAACGTACCAAGCATGTTTAGTAACGTCCGGTTAAATCTTTCGGAAAATGAATTCCCCATAGGGGGCCTTTTGGTGTTGCCCCCTAGGATTTTTTAAATTCCTTTTAAGTTAAAAAACCCTCTTTGATTTTCCCCGGGACTCAAAATTTTGCCCCTTTGTTTCTGATAAAATGGTTGTAGGAAATACCCATACTTTAAAATGAAGTTTTCATATAGGGGGAAATCAGTTTTTGTCTTGCTGTTTGGTTTTTTGTGGGCAAGGGCACGAAAAATTTTGGGGAAATTTTCTGTGATGATATTTATTTTGGTTTAATCCCCCTTTTTAAGGTTTCTAAAAAAAGGGGAAATCCATGAAAACTTTTCCCTAAAGGGGAAAACCCCTGGTTTTTGGAAAATTAACAAAGGGGGGACCCGGGGGAACAAAATTTGAAAGGATTTTCTTTCTTAAACAGCGGTTCAAACTCGATTTTGGTCCATTTTTTTCAAAACTAAAAGACATTTTTTGGCCTAAAAAAAATCTTTTTTTGAAAGTAAGAAAAAGTTTTTTTGCCCCTTCCGGGAAATGGCCCAACA